GGAAAAATATCAAAACTCTTTGGTCATTTTTGAGCGAGATGCTAACGGTCTAATCAGATTCAATGATCTATGCTAAGCTACAGCTAAAAGTGCTACCGCTAAAAGTGCCAGACCCGGAGATTGGCTGAATGGATTCGAAAACGTAAAACTCAACTGTTTAACTCTAGGGGAGTTGGAAAATGAGCCTATTTTCAAAAATAGTGGAGTGTTCCTTTAAGATCCATCTCAGACAATCTGATCACAAGAGGTCAGCCGAGACACACTGCAGGGTCCTGTGGCTCCTGTGACCACTTACGATCAGATTTTGAGGAGGAGGGTCTGTTGTGACGTCACACAGTATGTCAGTGTGTAACTGTGTGTTGATAACACTTTTTATGACCTCTCTGCGCTTCATACTGACCTCTTTGGACGTGACATTTTCAAGGTCCTGGCACATCATGATACTCCTGAGTTTAGCTTTGATTAAACATTCTGTTCTTTCCCTCTCTGTTGGCCTGAGGAACAGAAACGTAACACAACCTAAATCAAGGGTTTAAGAAAGAGCATCATTTTAAGGTGAAGGGAACAATTTTATTTACTTACTTTTTTATTATTATCATAATTCATAAAGTCAAAATTACATTTATACAATAAACAGATAAAACATGTATTCGGTTTCATCATAGCTCTTCCATTCTTTTTTCCAAATAAAAAAGAAAAAATATACAAACAAAAAATATAAAATGCATGTATGAGAAAACATACAAAAAAAGCCAGAAAAAAAAAAGATGCAGATGACCACTGATTATTAAACAGATCAAATATTAGATTAAACTGTGACAACATTTAACAAATATGTCTGACTTTTACGTATGGTCTCAGTGCATGGTCACAAAAGAAAAAAAATCCCTTCCAAAAAACTAATCAAAATGTTAATTTAAATCTGCTGGTGGGTTTCACAAGTGCCAAGGACTCTGGGCTTTCAGGGTTTGCACTCACTTGTTAACAAAGACTGCAGGAGAGTCAGGTCGCAATGTTTCCAGGTCCAGCATGGCGTTCCACTCGTTGATGCAGCTCTGTTCCGAGCTGATACAGCTCTCATAGTACCCCATCCATGTGAGCGCCATGCCACCGGGGAAATAGTTGTACCTTCGTGACACCTCACATGCCTTGTGTAAAATCTGCAGTGCTGACCTAAAGGAAAAGCAGGTTAAAGGTGAGCAAGAGACCTGTGCCAATAGTCTCAGTAATGAGTTTAAATGATCATGATGTGATTTTAAAACGAATCAAACTATATCTCAAACTGAGTGAAGTAAACTGACATTGGTGAAAGAAAACTTTAATCTCAGTTGATTCAAAAATGCATTGAATTCGGTAATCATAACTCTCCACTAAACAGTACATACCAAAAATACCTTTCTGGACAGCATGTTGGAGTTCCATATAAATACCATAATATGTGGTTATGGCGTCACTTTAAGCATGGTTTATATCAAATACCATCTGGTGATCTGATATTCACTGTACCATGGTACAGCCACAGTACTTTTTTGAAAGTGTCACCAGATGGCAGTGTGGAGCTCTATTATATTTAAGGATGTCAAACTCCCAAAGCGCCTGTGAACATCTGGAAAACAGTCCACTCACATCATCTTCAACCCCCTGAGGAACTGTTTTTTTTTTTTTACCTCAGTAACAAACAAGAGCACAAATTCACCCAGCCAAGTAGACAAAGGCTCTTGTTGGAAAAAACAAATTAACTTGTCACCTCATTGGGAGAGATGACTGTAGGATTATCATCGCATGAAAAAAAAAAATAGCAGTTAAAATAGCAGTTCTGAGTGATTGTCTGAAGTTGTTTGGAAGCTTTAGGTTAATCACTTAAATTATCACATCAATCATTTAAAAACAGATTTAACAAGTAAAACTAGAAAAAAGTGACCCAAGAAGACCCAATATAGAACATGAACACAAATCATTATATATCATCATATATATCAGCATTTCCACTACAAACTGAAATGTCTAAAATGTGAGTTTAAATTGCTCTAGTTCATTATTTATTGATGTTATTTTCTCACCACATGGCCTGGACTGACACTGGCTTGAAGATGTGTGTGTGCCCGGCAGTAGTCACACTGAAGCCCCTGGAGACATGAGAAGAGAGGTTAAATAAGGCCATCATCATATGTCATTACAATAGAACTACAACCTATCTAAACAACAATAAAAATAAGAAATACTTGTTAATATTGTCATTGGCTTCATTTTCTGAAAAATGAATTCAACACGGTTTATAAACCACGCTATCTACATCAGTGCATCAAAATTTGAAGTGTCATCAGACCAGCAGCAGCATTTCCTCTCCATTCCCAGAGGGGGCAGTACTCACCCATCACCATCTAAATGAATCTTGGTGTCACTCCACAGTGGCAGCACCATCCCAATAGAGCAGTTCTTACTGTAAATGAAAGAAAAACTCCCTTATTCGACTTAATGTAATGTCCCTGCGGGAGGTAACAAACTCTTAAACTTGTCTTTTTGATGATAAAACTGTATTTGATTTTTAAGTCACCTGTCTTTGTTGCTGAAGTCCATGCCCAGTAAGATGTTTTCCTCAGTGTCTTGACGGCCATTTGTGTAGACTACCACCATGTACCGCACACGGTCTGACCACGCGCTCTCTAACCGCACCGCCTGCGGATTACAGTTGATTGACACAAGTTTGGTTTATGTAAAACCAGGTACGGTGACAGAGAAGTGCAAAACAAATCACAATTCTGAAAACAAAATAACAAATTACAAACGCAAATGCAAGTCTAAAATAACAATTCATTAATGGATCAATGGATAAGCATGTGTCGTTGGCTTTTTGACGCAATCGATCCGGGTTCGATCCCGCCTTTTGCCGAACCTTTTTTTCCTCACTTTTCAAAAAGCCAACGACACGCGCTTATCCATCTGTGCCACTGGAGCTGATGATTTACAGCCACTTTTAAATAAATTTAAATAGACACTCCGTATTTTTTATTCCATAGTAAGGGCAATTCATACAATACATTTAAACTGAGCTACTTTAATACCATCTCTGAACTTTCTACCACGACTCTGCTGTTCTTCGGCTGGTTCTTCCTGTATACGTTGATTGACAGATGTCTCGTCCAGTCAGCGGTGAGTAATCCCAAACCAATGGCGCTGTCTCAAACTATACCTACCTCTTCCGGTTTGTCTGATTTGTCGTTGTGTTTTCTGACTTGTTAATTTGTTTTCGGATTGGTCGTTGTGTTTTCTGACTTGTTATTTTGTTTTCTAATTTGTCATTGTGTTTGTAATTTGTTATTTTGTTTTCAGAATTGTGATTTATTTTGCACTTCTCGGCCACCGTAACCAGGGCCCACATAAACACATACACATGCAAAAGCACAATTTATTAAACATATTAACATACTGAACTGTAGAATAGATTACCTGAAAATGTCAAATTCGGTTCATTATTCACTCACCCTCATGTCATCTTTCTCTCTATGTAAGACAACAGGAGCATTTTCAAGAATCTTCACGCAACTTTTTTTCATGTGTCTGTCAAGCTCGTCAAACATCGTGCACTATATATTAACTCTTCAAAAGCAGTGGTTCTCAAACTTTTTGACTACCTGTCAAAGGTCCCTCACTGTCAAACAGTATTCAATAGCTCTCCTATTCACCTAATAAAACAAATTTTATATATATACAGTGGGTACGGAAAGTATTCAGACCCCCTTCAATTTTTCACTCTTTGTTATATTGCAGCCATTTGCTAAAATCAT